CAGCTCGTTTCACCGTTTATTAGTTGTTTTTTTGTTCATTGTTGCTTCTTGTAGATTTCGTTAGGACCGAGTGCGGCAACCGCCGTCGACGAGGCCTGCTCACGCCAAAAATATTGAAATCTTGGCAATCAGTCAGTGCGACAGCGTGATACATTAGATGGAGCCGACTGTACCGATTCAAAAAGTTATTTTTTTTCTTTGCTTCTGGTTGCTTTAGCTTTCTGACGTATTTTGCCCAAAACACAAACAAAATTGGAAAGGCAGGCCGATCGAAAGCCGCATTCTAGGAGATGTCACTTGCACAACAATGCCTTTCTTTGGCAATCTATGTTGCGAAGTTGTAAGCTTGCCAAATTCTGGCGAGGCCCCTTATGGGTCACACGTTTTCGAAGGGTTTTTTCGGTCTCGAACATGAGCCCGCCAAATCTGCTAAAGTGTAAAGGCTGACATTGGAAGAAAACGGCACGGTCGTTTGAACCGATGTTTTCGTAGAAGTGACTGAGTGAGTGTGTGCGTACACGCGTGCATGCAGCAGGGAGTAAGTGAGCTTTGCCGTGACGAACTGTTGCCTGCAGCGCGTGAACTCCTCTTCGGTGTCGGTTGAGCAGTACTCTGTTCTACCAGCCTTTCCTTCCGAAGGAATGAATGTTTTACGGCTTTGAGCCCGGCACTGAGCGCGATCAGCGGTGTAAGCGCTGCCGAAGCTGTGAGTGAAAGAGCTTTGCTGTGACCCGAACTGTTACCGTGAGCAGTGTCTTTGGTTGAGCGTGAGCCTTGCTGCAACCCGAACTGTTGCGTGAGCTAGTAAACTTTTAGGTTCGGCAGTGACCAAGCCTTGTTCTGAGGCAGGGCACGAATGTTTTATGGGCTGTGAGCCCGGCACAAAAAGTGATGACGCTGCGGACTGGGGTCTGCCATCTAAGCAGTGAGTGTGTGAGCCTTGCCCCAATTGTTGCCCGAGCTGGTAAACTCTTCGGCTAATCAGTGACTAAGCCTTGCTTTGATCTTGTTTGTATGAAAGCCACTAAAAAGTGATTGAGCTGCGGTGTGGGGTGTAGGATAAATGACTAAGCCTTGCGGTAACCGGCGTGAGCAACTATTATTGACGTCTAGCAGGTTGATTCGAAGTGGACGAATGTTTTACGGCTCTGAGCCCGGCATGCTGCGTCACCCTTAGGGCAAAGCCGGTGGTATAATACTTAGCTGCCAACCGAATTTGCTTGATTCTGCAGGCACGTCTCGGACCTCCCACCGTTCTCATAGTGTTATACTACCCAAAGGGTGTGTGGGTGGGTTCCCTTGGTTTTTACGCCAGATGGGGTGGGTTCCCTCTGGGTTCCCCTGTTTTTTGCAGCAGTTCTGGTGGCCTACATGTGGGTTCCCTTGTTTTTCCTAGCATCTCGGGTGGGTCCGCGTATGTTCGTCGCCTACCGTTGTGTCAACATCGACGGTGGGTTCCCTGCGGGTTCCCTAGTTTTTGCAGAAAGTGGGTTCCCGTGGTTTTACAGCCTGTGTTGCCGAAATGTGTGAGCGGAGGGCTTTTACAGCATGTCAGCTGGGTTCCCTATGGGTTCCCTTGTTTTTTGCAACAGTTTAGGTGGGCTGCATGTGGGCTGCCCTGCTTTTTGCAGTATCTCAGCTGGGTCTGCGTATGCTCTTCGCACCTCTCGGCAAGATATGCTGTAAAAAACCATGGGAACCCATTTCCAGTGTTGCCAAAACCTAGCGAATCCTCAGCGGGTTCCCTTGGTTTTTACAGCATGCCCGCTGGGTTCCCTGTGGGTTCCCTTGTTTTTGGCAGCAGTTCAGGTGGGCTGCATTTGGGTTCCCTTGTTTTTTGCAGCATCTCAGCTGACTAGCACTGTTAGCGTCGACGGTGGGTTCCTTGTGGGTTCCCCAGGTTATTTGGCAAAAAGCTCTGCGCGTTTTAGCAAATGCCATACACGGCACGAGGAGTGCCAAAATATCGAACGAGCATACAAATGTTTTAGAGAACATCTGTTGCCAAAGCTTGGGCCGCTTGAACATGCCGTAATTGCTTGCAAGTTTTTCTCAGAGCTCTGCAGCACTAGCCCTTCCGTGCCTGAAGAAGCGGCATGGAGCACGAGGACCGGGAGCTTCAACTAAGAAAAGACTGTCGATCAGCTAAACAGGTTTCCTTTGCACTCGTGGCCGTCGTACATTGGCACAGTGACGCCCAGGACTCTTAACATATTTTGGGTATGTGGTTCTGAAAGAAGCCCCAAAAAAACGAGGCTTGTCCTGGACAGGTCGGGTTGCCGTCCGGTAAACGGGATATTGAGGGCGAGCTAAACTGGGTCTTGGCGGGCTTGGGCGGGTTTAGGGGTGGTTTGGATGGGTTGGAGGGTTTGAAGTGGGCTTGGGGTGGTGGTTGGTCTCTTCCCGCAAGCTCTGGATTTGACGGGCTCATTTTCAAGACCAAAAAACCCTTCGAAAGCGTGTCCGCCAACAGGGCCGCCACAGTCTGTTCTCGGAACGGATGTGGAGCGCAAGACAATAAGGTTCATGCAGTCTGATTTTTTGGTGCAAATTTTTTCGTCCACACCCAAAATTTGTTACAACCCTTTGTCAGAACCGAAAACATTTGGGTGAACCGCAGAAACAAGGGCACCACGTCCAAAAGCGCACAACCATCAGAATTCGTGGATTCCGGAAATTTCCAATTCTTGTTTTGATATTGCATAGCTTGGACAACAAAAGACAGATTCGAATCTGGTGCATTTTCGCACCAACGTTTTCTTGTCCTTGCTGCTTTCGCGTAATTCGGAACCAGATTGGAGTCGGTCAACTGGAACCGAAACCAGGTCGTAAACGAAATCAAGGAGTTGGGTCAGAGCTTGATCTGAACTCCAACTTCCGTGCACAGGTTTGACCAACGAATTCAATCCTTGGCCTGCATTACGCACGCGAAAGGCGAAAGCCACAAATTTTTTTTGCTGGAACGGGCTGCATCCGCAGAACCAACAAGAGCAGCACAATGAGACTAGGAAAAATGGAACATTATGAGGCCCGCGGCTTGTTTACAGCATGAATGTCCAAGGATTCCGAGAAGGCAAAAGGTGCTGTCGCCACAACCGTTGCCATACCTGCCGTACATGGCGTCGATTCTTGTATTGCTGTCACGAACACGGTCCGGTGTGCTTCGGGCTTGGCAAAGACCGCATTGTTACAACTTGAGCTGAGCATGCAACAGCCATCAAAGAGTCGCGTAAGCACAAAAGGCTGGCAGAAGATGCAACATGTCTATCAACGACCGTGAAACTCGGATTATCTCGAAGTACAGCCTGGCAACAACATGTCAATCTTGCCTCCGGAACCGATATGTGGGGATTCCAGGCCTGCAGGATTTGTTTGTGAGCAAACAACAACTTCTCGATCATCGGATGATTGCGGCTGATCATCGCCGTGCTGGGAATGTGGTAATGAATAACATATCGTCTCGTAGAACGGATCTTCCAAATGCGTAACCATCCGGAACAAGCGGTAAATCAACGTCATCATCCACTCGATTGCTGTGAACATGTTTCTGTGCTTCAAAGGATTTCAAACCGTAGCAAGATCAATCAGAATTTGCAGAAGAACGTACAATCGATTGTATTGTATCCGGCGATCGAAACATGGACGGAACACAATCCTGCAACGGTAAAATCACGTCTGCGGTACGTCCGAATTGGCGCAAAGATCAGACAGGATCAGTAGCGGCCATTTGAGAATGCTTCGAGCGAGCCCATGGGGCATTCAGTTTGGACTGGAACACGCAAATACATGTTTTTTCTACAATATGCGAAAGGTCTAGGGACATGCATGATGACCAGCGACACGGGCAGGTGGAAACTGCTTTTCTTGTGATGCCACTACAAGCACAGTTCACCGCATACCGCCCCACCTGGTGCGTTCACGATCACACCAGCGAATGAGTCGACGAGCCGGTAGATTTATAAGAACTTGTGCAACTTAGGTTGCAGAAAAACTCGGTAATGTACCACCGACTTTGATGTGAAACTTCCCAGTGTACTCGGAACTGTTTAAACGGAGTCGCTGTAACAACGGTGACTGCACAGCAGCAACATGTCCCTGAGGCCCAGAGACAGCAACATCCATTATCTGATGACCGAACAGCATAGACGTCCCATGTAGGTACCCCCGAGTCAGTTTTTAGTTCACATGCTTTCAGGGACACCGCTTTCCCACCTGTTGCCAGTCACCGCAGTTGTTGCATGGAACAAACTGTTGTAGCAATGCATATGTTTTGTAGCTAGCAGTTTTGCAGAAGACACGGCCACGTCGACAGAGTCAGAGCTTTGAGTCTCGTACAGTAACCAAGATTGCAACAGCCCATACAAATCTTCCATGTGCTTCTGCCAGTTCCGGGCGTGCGATGGAGGTGGGTCGTTGCCCAAGGCAGCCATGGTCCACGGAGAGTGAGACAGAGCCATGCTTCTTCATGGAGTAATTCTCTTCTGCCTGGTTCCAAATTCCCTCTCCGTGTCCATCGCTGCCGGTGGCCATGTTACCTGCGCGCTGTCCGGTGGGCAGTTGAGGCTTGGCAAGCCGAGGGATTGTGCACCAGGATTCGCGAACTTGTTGTGACTCTCTCTAGAACTCCCCCTAAACCCTAAAGTCTTTTTCAACCTTAACCCTAAACCCCAAACTTGCCGGAACTCCAAACCCATCTTTTAGTAGGCCTCTTTTCTTTCAGGTGCTGGGGTCAAGGCAGCCTGGGCCAGCTGGGGCAGGGGGATCCAAGAGACCTCGCGGACGCGACGTCGATCCCTTTGGTGCGCCTGGGTCTGAGGCGAAGAGCAACGCAGGCCGGACACCGGGGCACAGAGAACATGGGGGAGGCTTGGGGCTTTAGGGTGCAGCAGGGGGTTCTGGATCATTGAAACGGGGGGTTCAGGGTTTTGGGTTTGGGGGTTTAGGGGGTGTGATTCCAGAGTCGCTGATGTAGGCACTTCAAGACAAGCATCTCTCCTAATTCTGTCCTTTGGACAAGCAGACTGGTGATAGATCTCGTGAGACTGATCATCATCGGTCCGAGAAAAATTCTAGCGTACACCGAAGCCGAAGCCGGAGCCCCAACACCGAAGCTGAAGCCGGAGACCTTAGCTCAAGCCAGGTGGCAGTCGGCAAAGAGCACATTTGTGCGAGGCTCAGTGACAACAGCGTTACCTGCTGGGGCCATGGGCCGCATGGCCAGTTGGGCCGGGGACGAGCTACGAGCTTGCTGGGCTCTCAGCTCCTTGGCATTCAACTTGGGCTAGTCTCGGCAAGTCGCGCCATATCCCTGCGCAGACCGCCAGCGCATGCCCGCCTCAAGTGTAGTTTCAATCAGACTCTATAGTATAGCAATTATCACATCTGGCGCATCGTTCTGAACAAGGTCCGACGACATGGGCGACAACTTGGTTGCCGTGGATCTGGGAAGCCTCGCGGCCGTGGAGGAGCTTCAATCTAAGAGCCCTATGCCCAAAATGCCGCCACAAGAACCGAGGACCTGAACTTTACACTCTTCGTTTCTTTCAGCCCCAGAATCTCGAATTTTTAGAAAAGTCTCGAAAAGCTCGAAAACCAGTCAAAAGCCGAGAAGACCCGAAGCCCCAACTCTGTTTTGGCCTCCTGGGAGGTGGTGGCCGGGGGCATGCAGAGCTGTGCCCGGCTGGTGGACGGGTCCCTGCGGTGCTGGGGTCGGGACCTTAAAACGGGGACGTCCTAAACCCGAAGGGCCCTCAAGCCCAAACCCATTTTGGGGTTTTCGTGCGAGCTCAAGGGTTTGAGACACCAAGGCCAGGGCTCCGGGGACCCAGACAGCCTGGCAGTGGGCCTGGAAGCGCCAATCCTTCAGGCGAGTTCTGCTTTTCCCGACCCTCTTCTTTTCGTCGCCTCTTCCCGTTATCCCCTGCCATGGGTCGGTTCTCGCAACCTATCTTCTACCCTTCCTACAAGGGGAACCGCTTCTGCCAGGTGGCCGCCGGCACCTCGCACACCTGCGCGCTGCTGGAGGACGCGAGTGCACTCAACTGGGGGAGCAGACTCTGCAACGCGAGGAGAGTGGAATGTACTAGGGCCAGGGCCGATTTTGACGCCCCTCTCTGCTTTCTTCAGGGTGGTGCTGTGAAATGCTGGGGCGCCGACTTTCAGCTGGGCCGCGGATCTGCGCAGGTGCAGAGCGAGAGAGAGAGAGAGCCGTTGTGGGACTTTGGCAGGGACTTTGGCAGTTCCAAATCAGGCTTCCGTCTTAAGGCCTACTGGCTGCTAGCTTCAACCTGCGATTTGTAGGTGTGTATCTGCGTTCTGTACGGTAGGCTCCGAGAAGAAACCGTGCAAGACCTTGGGGTATATAAGCCTTAAGCCTTAAGACCTCTAATAAACCCCTCAGCCCGAAAATCTACAACTCCTAAACCTTAAGAAACGGGAGAGCTGGCAGATGGGACTTTGGAGAACCGGGGGGGAATGGTTTGACGTTAGGAGTCCCAGGGGGCCTTTGGTTCCGGTGCCAAGGGCTCGAGGTATTGACTCTTGCAGAGGAGAATACCCAGCCAGTGCAGGGCCAGTGACGACTGTAATATCTTGCCATAAACCCTACAGCGAATTGTTAATAAAGCTTTTCAATCCGTAAAATGTGTGCCAGAAGACAAAGTGATTGCCACAATCCTTCATTCTTCATTCCAGAGCTTTTCAATCCGTAAAATGTGTGCCAGAAGACAAAGTGATTGCCACAATCCTTCATTCTTCATTCCAGTCTGTTGTATTGAACTACCTGCATGCATGCATATACATGAATTTATATGTTGATTGAGTGGACTATCATCATAGTCAAGGGTTGCGCGGTAGCGCGTGTTCTGTGTCGATCATAGTGACACTCTAACCCCGGCGGCCCTTGACAGCTCCTCCCATGGATGAGAGAGAGAGAGAGAGATATATATATATATATATATAGATAGAGACAAAGATAGAACTCTTGAGACAGCCACTGATAGAACCCTTATAGTAGCCTTGTTTTTGAGCCCTTGCAGAGCTCTTAAAAAAAAGAGCCCCTGCAGGGAGCCACCCAAACAAGAAGCCGAAAACCCTAAACCCTAAACGCTAAACGCAGACCGAGCTCCCGGCCGTGGACCTCGGCGGCGCTGAAGCCTTGGAGATTGCTGCGGGCCGGGGCTTCGCCTGTGCGCGCCTGGCGAAGAGCGCGCCTTCGGCCAAAGGGGGTGAGGGTTTAAGAGTTTCAGGCGTTTAGGGGTTTGGGGATTAGAGTTTAGGGTTTGTTGGTTGGTGAGTTTCGGGTGGATGATATGCACTGTTGCTGCTGCTGCTGCTGCTGCTGCTGCTGCTGCTGCTGCTGCTGCTGCTGCTACGACTCCTGCGTAGGATTATAGGAGCATAGAAAAAGAGTTCGGCAATAGAGTCGAGCAAAACATAAGAGAGCACCAGCATCAACAGCAAGAAGACGGATGCCCATGGTAGCAAAAGCACTCTCGATGACACTGACACCAACAGCGGTGGCGCCCGTATTACCAGCGAAAGCAATAACAACGATCAATTTGTCTGTTGACTTTCTGTTCGGACGGCGAAAATATGAAAGCCTCGTTGCGATGTTGTAGTTGCGATGTTGTAGGATCTCGTGGTGGCTTAGGCCATGATGCTTGGCGGTGCTCTAACTAGCAGCGAGGCCTAGACCTAAACCCCGAAGCCTAAGCCTTCGATGCCCTACCACCCACGAGCTTTGAAGCCGCAAGGCCTTAAAGCCCCAAGCCCAAACGAAATCCCTTACAAAACCTGCAAGGACCCGAACAAACAATGAGTAAACCCAGGTCAAGTGCTGGGGTTCGGGCAGCGACGGTCGGCTGGGTACCTCTGCGATGCTTGAGGGTCTCCAGTCAGTCACTGCGAGACTGTCGGTCCTTCAGTTGTATAGTCTTCTTCGCCATAGCCACAATGGGAAGCCTAGTATGTACTATGTATCCCTATTAGCGTAACTTAACCTGAGTTCCTTACGCAAGCACCCGAGGATGCGGAAACTCGTAAGGAGCCCATGCAAAACCCCGAAAAACCCCTGATACATCGATGTGGAGCCCTATAGGTTGGTTTCCTTAGCACGAACCCGAAACCCTAAACCCAGGCCTGTTTATCGAAACTCTAATCCTCTCAACCCCCTAAACGAGAACCCAGGCTTCTTTCTAACTCTTTTTTGAACCCTTTCATTCGTAAATCCCGTATTCTTTAAATGAAGCCCCTTGGAGAAGAACCCGAGAGGGTCGGTTCCGCGTTAATACTCAAGTGGAGCTTCTAGCATTTAGAACCCAGGGCTCAGATTAGGTGTGGTGGCAGATATGCGCCCCTTAACAATCCTTTTCAAAGCCCCATATTCCTCAACGAATGTTCTCAAAACGACAAGCCCCCTTATCAATCCTCTTTCACCCCCTATATATGTTAACTTCAGCTCCTGAAGACAAGAGCTCCCCTCAAAGGCAAGAAGCAAGGGTTCAGGTTCCTAAACCCAAACCCAATACCCTCCACCACATACACCCTGAAGCCCTGCACCCTAAACCTTTAACCCTAAGAAGCCTAAGCCTAAGTCGTTTTTTTGAGAAGTCCTGGGCCTTTGGATATAGGCTCGGGCTCCACCGACAACATCGGTGACGATGCGCAGGACGCAGATAAGGCCGGTTAGGGGAGGCTGTGCCCTAAGCCCGAAACCCTGACCCTTTTTGACCCTAACTTCTATCGCTATCTCGCTATTAGCACTAACCCATAAGCGCTAGCCCTACTGCCCCATGAACCCTAAAGCCCTGTAGCCCGATAAAGGAGCCATTGGTAGGAGGCCTTAAGAGGAGCCCTTACGAGGAACCTTTAGTACGAAACCCTGAAAGGAACCCTCAATATGAGCCCTTCGTAGGAGCCCACGGGACCCTTCAAGGGACCCTGCAAAAGGACCCCTTAAAGGAAGTCTTAACAGGAGCCCCTAGTAGGGCACCCTGAACGGGAAGAGAGGTCCAAACCTAAAGGGCCTACACCCTAAACCCCTGAACCCCTAAACCTCGAAACCCTAAATCCTCAAGAACAGGATAAATAGAAATTGTGTGAATTTCGCTTCGGATGCGATTCGTTTGAAATTTACATTAAACGTGTGCGAAGAGATACCGGCCCAATGCCAAGCCTTGCCAACAGGCCACCAACCAGCCCAGCCACAGCCCAGCCCCGACCCTAAACCCTAAACCCTAAACCCTAACCCTAAACCCTAAACCCTAAACCCTAAACCCTAAACCCTAAACCCCAGCCTCAGCTCCAGCTCCAACCAGCCACAGCCAGCCCAGCCCAAAGAAGCCAAATGCAAAAGGAAAAGCCAAAGCCCGGCAAAACCCCGGCAGAAACTCCGGACCCAAACCCTATAGAATTTCTAGGAACCCTATAAACCCTAAACCCGTAAACCCCGAAACCCTAAGCCCTAAACCCTAAACCCCTAAACCCGTAACCCTAAATCCTTAGACCCTTAAAGCGAAGAGAGGTCCGGGCTTTGCCGGCCCTGGATCTCGGCTCCGGGCGCTGGGCCCAGGCCCTGGCCGCTGGCGAGGAGCCAGCGTTTGCATTTTTTTTTGGTCTCGGAGGGTTTGGGGGTGTTAGGGGCCTACATAATTACCAACATTATTTTGGGGGCTCCTTATTATAAATACAGTATAATGGGCCCCAAAGCCCTGTTTAGGGTTCTTAGGCTTACAGGGCTTGGGCTGGGGCCTTGAGTAGAGTAGTCGACCTTTTGGTAGTTTTTGTTGTGGGGGTTCGGTGTTTTCGGTGCTGTTCCGTGCTTTGGTTTTCGGGACGAGATCTCGAGATCTGCAGCCTTAGCTGCGAGAGGACCACGCGTGCGCTCTGTTGGACGACAACTCGGCAGGGCGCTCAGTGAGGGCGTTGGAGCTCAGTTGCGGCGCTCAGAAGATTTTGCAAGGATTTAAGAAGAGCTCATGCGGGAAACATCGGATTTTGTGGGGCTGTACAGGGTTCTTTAAGGGTTCTATGCGGGTTTTTTCATGTCTCTGTACGGCAAAAAGACACCCAAGTCCTTGAGGTCAAATGTTGGGGCAAGAACGATTTTGGCCAGCTGGGTCAAGGGCACACGCGTTCCATCGGCGACTCAGACAGCAGGGCATGGGGTTGGAACGGGGCGATTCAGAAGGCTGCGGGCACTTGAGCAATATAGAGGTCTGAATACGGAGCAATAATAGTACAGTAGTATCTCCTGATGGTCCTTACATGAATTTTTTGAAGTAATCACATATCTCAAGATCCTATTCTTCTTCCTCGCACTGAGGCTCCTATAGTACTCACCTAGTGGGCTCCAGGACTCTTTCGGGGTTTGCCTAGCATGGCCTATAGCCCAAAGATACTCCCAAACCCCACGAACAGATTAATTTCATAGCATGCAGTTTTGGATGCGAAGCTATCAGAAACCAGGAGGTCCGAAGAAGTCTGCAAGGAGCATGTCGGGTTCCTCCTAAGCCCTAAAGCCTTGAATCCCCTAAACCCGTATAGATCCCTTTAAAGGACCTAAACCGGCATATGTCAACTTTAAAGGAGCCTTTTAAAAGAACCCGTACAGTAATTCCGAAATGGCTCTCCCAGTCTCCCAGTCTGGAGCTATTGCAATGCTGCTTCCGTTTAGGGTTTAGGGTCCATACCGAAGAAATGAGCATCAATAGAACGCAATTCCTCCCAAATAGTAGTCTGCTAGACTTAGCGCACCTTGTGACGGCGAATAGGGCAAGCAACGGGACAATGAAAGCACGAAAGAAAGTAACGCCTCCGAAGTCAGGAAGGCAGAAAGCAGCAACAGCAGGAGGCTAGAGGAATGAAACGGAGGAAGAGTACAAGCATTGCATACTCAACAGCTCGAAGATGCAGACCGGAGCCGCAGCAATAGCGGAATAAAATTCTGGCAGACACCACACTGCACTTCTTGCAGAGACCGCAACAGTGGAACTTTCAGCATTTGAGTGGTTCGGCGCCTCCAGCGCTGCCCGTTAGCGTCTGAGCTTGATAGTTTGGGTTTGCCTGTTGATCAGGTTTTCTAGTTGTTCGCGGCGGGAGTGCACCTGAGCTATCACTGCCATGCGCGGGGCCTTCCGAGTGCCATGAACCCATGAATCATGGTGATGCTGCTGTTCTCAATGTCTGTGGTGATGATACAGATGTTGATGATGACGGTGGTGGTGGTGATGATCACGATGACGATGACGACAACACCGTATAGTGGTAATGATGATAATGGTCGTGATGCTGATGATGACAAAGATGATGAGAATGATGATATGACGATGCTGCTGATGATGCTGCTGATGCTGATGCTAATGCTGATCCCACTGCTGCTGCTGCTGCTGCTGCTGATGCCGCTGCTGCTGCTGCTGCTGATAATGATGTTGATGATTCAGTTCTGGTGGCCGTGATGATGGTGGTCGTCGCCGTCGGCATCGCCGTCGGCTTCGTCTTCCTGTTACTGCTCTGTCACTTTCATTTCCTATGTCTGCAACAGGTGACGAGCCGGGCGAAATGGGGGAGCCCCTGGGCGGCGCAACAGGTCGACCTGAGATGTTTCCGAAGTAAGGCGGGTCGGTAGTTCGGGGCCTGTGCCTGTGACTTGCGGAAACCTCGGCTAGCAAGGGCCCTTAACGCGAGATCAGATGAGACATGCTGAAACATCTGCCCTGACAAGTTCGGGTCGGCTGCCGTTTTGCCTTTCCCAGGAATTTGCAGCCTGTGGACTTGGGCTCCAATCGCCACGCCCTGGCGGTAGCGGCGGGTGCCCTTCACAGCTGCAGCCTGGCTTGTTCAAGGAACTTCCCCTCTCGACTTTGGTATGTGTGGGTAGGGACTTCAATCATCCCTAAACCCTAAACTCCTAAACCTAATCCGAAAAGTCCTCAAGCCATGAAGCCTGAACTTGAAGCCTGAAGCCCAAAGCGGCCGAAAGAATCCAAACCCGGATCTGAAGACCCCGGTCCCTGTATCCCTGAATGCATTTAGGCGGCCGACAAGAAATCTGCTGAAGTTTCATGTAGTATGATATGTGGCATCACACTTGATGTCGTGTCATACTTTGGGCTATGATGAAATGCACCAGACAAGGGCACTCATGTTGCATGGATCCGAGGTGCCATCCTGGACGACTACAGCGTGAAGTGTTGCTCATAGAGCACTTCAGGTTTGAGTGTTGGGTTTTGCAGGAGTTTTGTAAGGGTTTAGCAGTTTGAGTGTGGGCTTTGGAGGGTTTTTGGTGAGGGGTTAGAAAGGTTTGCGTAAAGGTTCAGGAGTAATTAGCAACAGTTTACTACCCCTGACTTCAGAAGCTTTGATAGAACCCGACTTATACGCGTGAATTGGGGGCTTGTTTGCGTGAGTTTCCGGCGAGGCGTGCAACTGTTACGATGAGGTGAAGCACGAGCAACCACAACCATGCCCCACAACAGCGAGCAAGTCTTCCATGATAAAAGTGGCCCTAAGCAGTACACCCAAAGCCCTGGACCTCAACAGTACATGATAATGTGCCGCCTCAAACCCTATACTATTCCTGACAGTGCTTCCAGGTTGGGGCTATGGCGCTTATGGCCAGCTGGGCAACGGGGGCACTGCGTCGCTGGGGGATGAGCCCCTCGAGACCCTTGGCTTTGTGGGTCTTTTGGGTTTGAAAGGGCTTTTCATACTGTAGGGGGCCTTGCAAGACTTTTTTTATTGGGGGTTAGGGGTTGGATTTGTGGATGCTTCTACTTGGCGCCTGTCGGAACAGATCCAGGTGTGTGTGGTCGTTTGGGGCTCTCTGAGGTTTTGGGGGTCTGAGTCCCTAACCCCTAAACGCTAAACCCTAAACCTAAAGTCTTCGGAAAGCCTCTGAGAGGTTGGTTCGCCATTGTTGACAGAACTGCAGAGACCGAGTAGCTGCCCACCCCGCCTGTTTCTTGGGCCAAGTGACATCTAGGCACCTGACAGGGTTTAGGCCTTAGAGGAGGTTTAAGTTTTAGGGTCTAGGTTCAGGGCTTAGAGGGTTGTAGGTTTTAAGTTCTAGGGTTTGAATTGGGGCTCAGAGGCTTAGGAGGGTTTGGGCTTAAGGCTTAGGCGTAGGGTAATAGGAGGGAGTTTCTAAACCCTAAACCCTAAACCCTAAACCCCTAAACGTCGGCAAAGAGAAGGACAGCGAAGCATGCACGAAGCTTCGGACCTGTACAAACAGGGTGGCAGGGAATGTGGGACATTCCGAAAATTAGGGGTACCTTATTTTGGGGTCCTTATAATAGGGATCCTATTATTTAGGGTACTATATTAGGGTCCCCTATTTTTAAGAAACCCCCATGTGAGTGTTCGTAGGGACATCCCAAACAAGAAGGAAACCTGCCGTCTGGCTCTCCTACCTGCCTACTTGCCTGCCTAACCACCTACCTACACCACGTTGACATACATACACGTACATACACACACATATGCACACATATGCACACAAACTCACACATACACGCAGAAGAGCATGCGACGGAACCCCTGCACATACACTCGACGTGTCAACCTTCACATCCCTCTAACGTCTGAAGTGTAAACAACTCTCGACTTCAAGAGCCCCATCGTCTTGAGGATGGGCGATGCTCTGCCGGTGAGCCTCTTCACCGAGGTCGTTGCGGGAGGGGCCACAGAGCCCAGGGACGCCCGGATGGAACCGGATGGAACCGAGGGACTGACGGATTTCAGTGCGCGCTTGCTGTGTTTAGGGCTTTCGGGTGTTTGGCGCGACGTCTGGCTTGGCACCTGTAGGAAGTGCCTGGAAATGGAAATGCCAACTTCTCTGCCCAAGTGGAGGTTCGAGGGAAGTTTTTTTGCAAAGCCTTATTAAGACACCTGTCAGCATATGCAAAAGGACTCTACATATGTCCATAAACACCCTCTTCTGAAACCGAATCTCTTTCTCCAGCACTCGTGCAAGTCGTTGAAAGCTGAGGATCCGCCACGACCGACGCGATTCCTACAGGCTTCCAGTGGCACGGATGAATTTTAGTAGCGTCCCCCCTAAACCCTAAACCATAGACCCCAAAGCCCATCCTAAATCTGCAACGCGAAACCCCCAGCACCTCCAAAGAAAGCGCCCCCAACGTTGATGAAGCCTGAGATCGTCTGGATTCTTCTCCTGTGGTCCCAAGTGGAAGACCCACCGGCAGGATGTTTTTTTCCTAGGATTCTGTGGGGTTTAAGACAAGAGAGACGGGTGCTTAAAGGCTTTTGCCGATAGTCATAGGCAGTGTTTTCGAGATCGCAACAGGGTTATGAGTTGTTACAAGTTCGTGCTAACCGTATCTAATACGTCATTTTCATTCTTTGACGCTAAACCCCAAACCCTGCGTAAAGCCCTGCCCTTGCAGAAACCTTGTTAGCCTCGTATCAATACTCCATAAAGCCCAGCCGTTGTAGAATCTGTAAAGAGCTCTCATAAATGTCTTCACGGGGGTTACTGAGTCCTGAAATTTAGAGGGCAGTTCGGTTTGCAACGCGCATGCCATGTTGGAAGACGCATGGTTTTTGCACTGTCAGCCGGTGTTGTGGATTCTACAGTAGATTGAAAGTAAGTACCACGTGTGTCACACGAAACAGGTTTAACATAGGATCGAGAATCTACTGAAGCAGCCCGGCGCGTGACATGCCAAATCACATCGTCACATGTCCTTTCATGTCATGATCTGTCACATCATATCACATCATATCATGTCATATCGCGTCATATCATGTCATATCATGTCATTTTATCTCCTATCATGTCACACCATGTCATGTCCCGCGACGGGTTGATTCAGTAGATGCCCAAGAGCCTCATCAGAATGCATCTTGAAACACAGAGCATCCCCCCACCCCCCCTTCACTCACAAGGAGGAGCGCAAACAAGGCACAGAAGCCCCCCTTTCGTGTGCTAAAATGTAAAGCCCTTCTAGAGCCTTTCTTAGGTCCCTTACACTCTCGACGCCCTCACCGCACTGGAAGCCCCCTCTAATCCTTCAAACCAGGCAGCTGCTGCGAGAACTCGTCGACCAAGAGCCCGTGCGAAGTTCTCCAGGCGTGCTTCGGCGAAGCTCCGATGCTTGCTATAGGGGCCGCAGTCAGGAATAGAATAGGGTTCATTTAAGGCTTCCCCTAGACGGGAAAGGAACAGACTTCGGGTTTAGGGTTCGTATTTTCGAAGAAGAATGGTCACTATACATCGCCTGGGTTCAAGCTTCGTCGCGCTTGCTCATGGATCGTGCGGAGGACGCGGAGCACCGGAAAGTGCCTTTTCCATTTGCTAGCGGAGGAAAAACTCCACATTTCACGAGGCTTGTTACCCTAAACCCTAAACCCTAAACCGTCTGTGATGGAGGACTCCCAGGGAAAAAGGGGCTTTGCAAGGTGTACAAGAGCAACGTGCGAGAGTATGGTGGAAGTTCGTCCTGCTGCAGTAAGGCAGTAAGACGGCGGTGGCAATAATTAGAAGAGGGTTGTGGGCCATGATGCTCTGGTTACATTAGAGAATACCGGACAACTCTGACAAGCTATTGTTGACCCCTGCCGTCTTGAAAGAAGAGGGGAGTTTGGTAATGCAGGGTTTATAATTTGGTTCTGCATTCAAGGGTTTGCTTCAAGTTTGATAAGCGTTCTCTAAAGTTTCTTCAGGAGCTCTATTGGAATTGCAAGGCGTCTTATTTGGGTTTCGCAGGGGCACTTATAGGGAGTGTACAAGGGTGGTATTGGATTTCTAGGGTTACTGGCGCTCATGGGACTTGGCAAGTAGGGTTGCAGTGAGTGCAATGACACCACTGCTTACTTCAAGTCTGAACGAGGTATGTATCATTCTGTACATAACTACCTATGAACTTTCATCAAGTTGCCTACAGCGCGGAGGGTGTTTTCAGAATCTGGGAGTGCAAGTTGAACTTAAGGGGAGTTTCGTGTCCCACGCTTTCTCCTTCCTCCGCTCGATCCACAGCCTGACCCAGGGAGCGGATAAACCAGCTGTGTTACGTGCTTGAGATTCAAGAAACAGAGCGGACAGAGGCAGCTTTTTCTCCCTACCGAGCTGGAAGCCTCGACTGTTTGACAGCTCAGCTGAGGTACATGGAGTCCGTCCTCATGACGACCACCACCACGACTTTGGATGTCACCTTCGCAACGGCTGCTTTCTTGAAAATAGCTTTTGGAGGCTGTGAGGTTGTAGCTGCATCTTGTGCGCGCAAGCTAAAGCGAGCCGCTGCACCTTGTCCCGAGGCGCGAATGTCGAGCGACGAGAAGCGAATCATCACGTCTCCTGTTTGCAAGGGAAAATGGTTGGTATCAGAGCCTTCATTGCCTTCGGAACTTTAAACTTTACACTCTAAACTCCCTAGCCCTTGAACCCTATGCTTGGCTGGGGTTGTTTTCGTACATCGTGTTTCGACGCTTGGATCCAGGTTCTGCTCCATGGGCTTGGTTGGAACCCTGCTGCTTTCGTTCATCATCTTCATCTGCAAGAGGACCATCGCAAAGTGACTTGGCTGCTTCCACGCCTTCAGAGAAGGGAGTTCCCCAAAATCCCTGAGTGAAGGACTGTGCCTCGAAGTGTGCGGGGGGATCCCTGCTATGACTTAAAGCAAATTCGCCTACAACCCGAGCGCAACCTTTGTAGAATCTCATGCGGACGCGGACCAAGACACCCGTATGAAGCAGGCCCTAAACCCTAAACCCTAATCCCCAACAAGCAAGGCCCTGGTTGTCCCTACGCTAAGTAGGATTTCTCTTACTGGTAGATCCCGAGAATGCGAGCCCTAATACAAAAAGCCCTGTTTCATGTCAAACTACACAAAAGCATTCTTAGCCTTAAGACACCCAACAGTGCTCCTTAAAACCCTAAAGCACATAAACAAGCATACATATATATATATATATATACATATGCACATATTATACCCTACTTTCCTCGAGAGTCCTTGGTTGCGGCTCGAGCCCCAAACCATCCGCATGCAGATTCTCGAAGCAGAAGGAGAGCCAAAGTACAGGGTGTAGGGTACAGGGTTTAGGTTGCAGGGTCTGGGGTCTGGGGTCTGGGGTTTCGGGTTGTTGGGGTTAACGGTTAGGCCTCAGGGTAGGGACTGAATGCTTCGTATTAGCAACCCCGCTTGAAAGGGGTGTCAAAGGCTATTATAGAGCTTCTTGAGGATCTTACAAGTGTTGAGGAAGAACTCGCAACAACTGTTTCTCGTATCTTCTTGTGGTCCCATACAACTACACTCTGAAACGTTGTTCGAATCACGAATCAGGATGGGACTCATATTGGAGTAACAGGGCACCGGAGAAACGGTCAGGTTTCAGGTTCAGACTCCTCGCCCAAAGTGCCCTGAACCCTAAACCCTAAACCCTAAACCCTAAACTCCCTAAGCCAAAAGACCCCTAAGCCCTAAACCCTAAACCCTAAACCTCCTCGCCCAAAACTGTTCCTGAGCACTTTGAAATCTCCTCCAGGCGCCGCGCACGGCTTGAGAAGCTGAGAGAAGATGCTCCTGGGCCAAGCAGTGTAGGGTTTTCGGATTTAGGGTTTTGGATTTAGGGTATAGGGTTTAGGATTTAGGGTTTTGGATTTAGGGTTTAGGATTTAGGGTTGAGGGTTTTTGGATTTAGGGTTTAGGGTTAAAAAGCCATGCGAGATGTTTTGAGGTTTTGGACTTGGGCGGAGCGCTCGGTGGCTTTTTGTGGTGACCATGCTAACATGCTCATGTGTAGCGGAGGGTCTTAATAGGCAAAACGCAGCCATGCGAGCAGCATGTTTGCCGTGCCGTGTTTGAAGACTGGCATGTTGACGGTGTGTTCCATTCCTGCTCTTCTCTTGCATCGTAATTAGACCATCGCTCCTGAGGCAGCGATCAGAGATATGCTCAACAGCGACGATGACGCCAGCAAGGTCCCATCTTCTACAGTATCGCCATAGTTGCAATAGCTCAAAGAGCGAAGACATCCTTCAAACATAGCACGCCCCTTAAGTGTTTGTGTGTCTGTGTGGGGGTATAAATATATATATGTAGATGTATATATACACAGACAGCGCAAGAGAGAGATATTACAGATATAGACAGAGATGAATATAGACATCGCTATAGATATAGATACCAATACAGATACCGATGTAGACATAGATACAGATATAGACATAGAACAGATAGGTAAATAGGTAGGTAGATAGGTAGATGGATAGATAGATAGATACGTAGATAGGTAGGTAGGCAGGGCGATAGGTAGATAGGTAGATCGATCGGTAGATGGCGAAATATTGGGCTCGCGTGGGATGATTCTCCTCGTCTCGTGATCCCCCTCTAAACCCTCAATTCCTAAACCCCAAACCCTAAACCACAAACCCGAAAACCTCTAAACCCCTAAACACCTAAAAGCCTGAAACCATAAAACCCTAAACCGCCCTGTTGTTTGCAGATGGGCTCCGCCCGTGCCCTGGCGGCGGCCCTTGAACGAGAGGCCGGTGAGAGGGTTGCAGCGGGTTCGGGGTGTACAAACCTCTTTCATCTATACTCGATGTCATACCATGCCATACGACACCGTACCATGCCATACCATGCCATAGTCTACTCTGCTCTACTCAACTAAACTATACTGTAATATATACCTTGTTCTAAATTATTAAAGTCCCGAGAGCAGTTTTTTTTTTTGAGTTTGGGCCTCGGTTAAAACGATCTTTGCAGCGCGGTGGCTGGCAAGTCCATCGCCTCTTTCATTAGTATTAACATTGATAGTAGTAGTAGTAGTAGTAGTAGTAGTAGTAGCAGCAGAAGTAGTGGTGGTGGTGGTGGTGGTGGTGGTAGTATGAGTATGAGTACCAACATGAGTATGAATATGAGTATTCGTATTCGTGCTGGTGTTGATTTTAAGATAGGTATTGGTATTTGTGAGTTCGAAAGCTGCCCAAAGCTTGGGCCTCACGGCCCTAAAGGCTCACAGTGATCAGGGCCACAGTGATCAAGTCTGACTCGCAAAGAATTGTACCTATACTCCACGATCAAAGCCCGAATCTAACTATCAAGGCAGTCTTACGTCCCAAAGACCAAAGAATTATAGTTATACTATACTGTACCTCAAAACCCTATTTAAATTATTAAACCCTAAACCCTAGGCCCTAAGCCCTAAACCCTAGTCTAACTGTTAAGGCGGTCTTTCCTCCCGAAGCAGCGCCAGGTGGCACCGGGCCCCCCTTCGCTGGGGGAGACGCTTCGCCGGGAGGAGGCGGACTTTCAGATTTCTGTCTTGGGTTTCGGATTTAGGGTTTTAGGGTTTAGGTTTTGGGGTTTTCGGGTTTAGGGTTTTGGGGTTTTAGGGTTTAGGGTTTTGGGGGTTCAGGGTTTAGGGTTTTGGGGTTTTAGGGTTTAGGGTTTTTGTTTCTTGGGTTCGGGATTTGGGGTTTTAGGGTTCCGATTCGCCTCAGGTTCTTCTTTGGTGGTATGGGCCTCAGAGCTCAGGATCCAGGGTCTCCAGGGTCTAGGGGGTTCAGTCTTTGACCCTTCGGGTTTTGGATTTTAAGGGTTTCTGGAGCCGGCGAGAGAGCTTCTTGACACTTGGAAGCCTTCCGTTTGGGGGAGAACTTGAGAAAGCGTGGGGGCTTGGAACTTCGCCGGGCCATGGGTAGGTAAGGTCAATGAAGGTACTCAGAGCCCTACTTGGTGTCACTCTACAGAGCCCTCCTGAAACCCTTATGAAGACCGTATGCGATTTCAAAGCCCATGCAAACCTTCCATGGCAACTTATAGACGCCTTGCAGCGCCCTCATCAAACCCCATACAAGCCCGAGACAACCCTGAGAAGTCCTTTTCTAGAAGCCTGACCCTCCCCAAAGGTTTGAAAGCCTAACATAGAAGCCTCAATAACAATATTACTTCTTAGGGTTCCTTCTTATAAGTATACTCTAAAGGAGCTGTTCTACGTTTTTAGGCGCGCCCATCTTCGATGCTTTTTGGCCAGGTCCCATCTCCCACGGCGGAGCCGAGACAGCTTCCAGCGGCTCGGGATTCAAAGGAGGATGGGGGTTGACGTGCCTTGGGGTTCCGTTGCGCCCCTTTTTTTGGGGTTCCGTTTTCTGATTTAAGGCGGGGCTTTGGGTTTAGGTTGCGTCTAGTACTTGGCATGCCGGTTCCTTTAAGGCTTTCTTGTCCGGGTATTCCCCGAACAGTGGTTCCCCAAATGCGGCTCCCGCTTTCGCCCACTCTGCTGGAGATTGTCTGGTCGAGGTAAGGGTATTTTAGGGTTTAGGCGTTTTGGTTCCTTAAATGCTTCGGGGGTTAGCTGCTTGCTAAACCCCGAAGCCTGGAACCGCTTAGCTCAGCCCAAAAACGCCCCCTGGACCCGGCTGAACCCTTACAAAGAGGCCCAAAGCGAAAAAGCCACCAAAACCACCCGGAATTTCCAAGTCCCTCGGCCCTTAACCTTTCAACCCTAAACCCCTTCAGCTTGAAGCTTTCAACCTTAAGCACCCGAAGCTGCTGAAACTCAAGCGACTAAGTTCTTCAGCCCTGACGCGCCCCAAACCCGAAGACTTAAAAACCCGAGATCCTAAACCCTAAACCCTAAACCCTAAACCCTAACCCCTAAACCCTAAGTACCTCCCTAGGTGCCTGGCGGTTGTCCTCTCAGCCCCACCCCCAGTGAGGTGGGCCGTTTTCAGCACCTACTTACCGAAGTCATGCTTTGATAAGGGTTCTATTGTGATATACATGTTCTGGTAGGGTTACTGAAGGGGGCAGGGATAGAGGAAGTGGGGTGTATACTTACTTATGGCATTAATCAAGGTATTCAACCCCTTCCCATACAAAAGAGCTCTCCACAAAGGTTTGGGTTTCGGTTGGGGTCAGGGCTCAGAGTCTCGGGGTCCCTAAACTGAAAACTGCAGATTGAGCTTTGGGGCTTTGCAAAGCTTCTAAAAGTAAAAGCCCGATAGAGTCGTACAGCTACGCTCGCCCATGGCCCCGGCCCGACTAAATCCACCCGAACTGTGGAATGCTTCGTCACGCAGACACATTCCGTCCGATCCGGGCCCTTCCCACCTCCCGCCACGGCCTCAGGTCTTGTTTTCTTGGGAGGGGCGCTTGAGGGTTCTGTGTTGAGAATTGCCAAGGCTTCAAGGATACTTTTGTTCGTCTGAAACCCTACACCCTAAACCCTAAACCCTAAACCCTAAAGCGGGTTAGACTGATTAGACCTTCGGATTCGGCATTGCATGAGCCTTGGGGTCTGCATTTGGTTGAGGATTACTGAGCTGAAGCGCCTCGACCTGTTAGGCAAGCTCCCTTCCGCCCAGTTCCGAATCTGTGATTATGTAGTAACCTTCTAGTATCTCTGAGCCCTAAACCCTAGACCCTCAAACTCTAGTACTCCTCAACGGAGCCTGTTGCTTCTGTTGAGAGCAGTGCTTGCTCGGCCGAAGCAGGGCTCGTGAAGCAAAGAACTGGCCGCACTTCCGATGATTTTTTCCGATTCAGATAGGGTAGGAATAATTAGACTACGGTATTGATTGGGGTTCCTTGTTGTAACGATGGTGCACTATACATACTCTGGCTACAAGATCTTCGTATTGATTCTCGCGGTTGGCGGTCGTCGTGGCTTTATCATTGGGTCTGATGGCTACGATGAATCATCACGTGTGCCGTTGAAGTTGAGTTCGCTGTGATCAGTATGGTTTGCCAAGCCTTTGTATGCCACCCCCGAACCCTAAACCCTAAACCCGAAGCCGAAGCTCAAAAAAACCCTAAGCCGAAAGAAGGAAGCTCAGTGCAAACTCTGCTCCCTTCCCCAGCCCAGGGCCAAACCCGACTGGGCCAAATAGATCCTTGAACCCTCACACCCAACACCCCCTTATAGAACCCCTCCGGACCCTCACAGCAAGTTGTTAGACCACTCTTACAACCACTCTTACAGAAAGCCTTCACCCCCCAAGCCCCAAACCCGAAACTTTAAACCCGAAACCCTAAACCCTAAACCCTCTAAAAGCCCAAACTCTCAGAGCCCTCAAACCCCTCCCAGGCCAAAGCCTCGGTGCCATCTCCACGGCCGCCCCCCGCACGATCACCGCGCCCGGAGCCGCCCCGGCCGCCAGCCGCCGCGACCAAATAAGTAGAGAGTTGGGTGTTTTCGGTTTCGGGCTTAGGGTTTAGGGGTTTGGGTTTCGGGCTTGGGGTTCATGGGTTTTGGATTGGAAGGGGCTAGAGTTTGGGGTTCATAGATTCGGGTTTGGGTTCATGGATTCGGGCTTGGGTTTAGGGACTGGGGCTCAGGGCTTACGGCTTAGGGTTCTGGGTTGGGGGGGATACTCCAATCCCTTAATCCCCTAGCGCAACGATGGTATGGAAGCTCACCAACCTTCGCCTGATGCAGTTGGTTTAGGCTCAGGGTTTCGGGCTCAGGGTTTAGGGTTTCGGGCTTGGGGCTTGGGGTTTAGGGCTTAGGGTTTTGAGTTTTGAAGGAAGCCCCGAACCCCAAAATCTACCTTCACCTGGGTTTCCTGAAGTCTGGCGTGCTACAGTCCTATGCTAAACCCTAAACCCTAAACCCTAAACCTGAAAGTTTCAGAGTGAAGAGCCTGGGCCAGGGCCTGAAGTTGCCCAACTACACCTCCGAGGCCCAAGATTTCACAAGGGGGGGGGGGGGCTCGTGGCAAGAGCTCAAATTCAGGACAAACTTCATTTTACAAGAGACTTGGCAAATGCGCAGTGGTGCAATGGTGTTAAGTCTTAAGTCTAGCAGTAAACAATGCGTTTGTAGGGACATTTCCTACAGTGCCCATCAGGAGCTGCAAGGCTGCCCTGAGCCCTCGCCTTACTTACCCAGTTCCTTCACCCTCCAAGCCCCTACAAAGCCTTTACGAAACCTTTTATATAGAAGTTCGAGCTTTCATGGCAGCCCGTACGAACCCTCTCAATACTTCTGGATCCCTGCAGCCTTCTAGACCCGAAACCCTAAACCCGAACCTCTGCAAAAGTTGAAGTTCTGCTTCGGAGGGCGTCTGTCGGCTCGCGGGGTGCTGCTTGTTGCTATCGGCTCGGGCTCAGGGCGTCCCATGGAGCCCAGTTCCTCGCAAGCTAGCAGGATAGTATAGGGGCCTTGATAATTTAGAATAGGGTGTGGGGTATACGAAACTATAATTACAATAAGAAGCCCCCAAAACCCTATTCTAATTGTTGAGGCCCCTACATTACATTAAGCAATAGTGGTGCTCCTATTCACATACCCCGAATCGCGGCGGTGATCCCTCTATGATTTAAGCTGTGCTGTCTATCTAGCGGGTATTGTGCTTGTCACAGAAGACGAACTGTCGTTTTGGGAAGATGGGGCCGTGGTCTTAAAGTGCAAGCTTCTACACAAAGCCTACAAGCCCCAGATGCAAACCATAAATCCCCAAGCTCTCAATGCCTTCACCTTAGCCCTATGCCCCCAAGCCCTACAACTGAACCTGAAACCATAGAGTTAGAGGCCCCAAACCTTAGACCTCGGCTTGAGAGTTGCCGTGCCAGGAGTGCTAGGCAGAAGACCTCGTTCTGGAGGCACCGGAAGTTCAGGGTTTGGATGTGCTGCGACCGAATGCCGCCACGCGACTCTAGCTTCTAAACCTTGTAAAGTGTCAGGGAGGATTTCCGTTTCGAGGTACATTCTCAATAATACACCCTAATGCTCGGCCCCTCTTCCTCCCTTGGTGCCAGTAGTTCAATGTCAGTACTGTAGTGCACATCTCCAGCAGCGCCAGGCAATGATCAGATCGTGCATGGCCAGGGCTGTTTCGTCCAAAGGGATTGCGCAGAATACTCCGAGAAACATGTCTTGAAAGCCCTGTGTTTGCTGGCCTCGATCTCGGTCAGCACCTGCAAATCTCCCACGCCCGAAACTTCCTGAAAACTAGCCCCTAGCCTCTAGGGCTCGCGACTGAACCCTAAAGCCCGAATCTGCGCAAGCTTCGCGAGCGGCAAGGCGTAGGTAAAGCTAAGCGACCGGGTACGGGCACCTCCCCGGATCCCCGCCTGAAAGGGCGGGATCCTCACTAACCTTCTTTGGTGGCTGTTTCTGACGTTGGACATGGCGACCACCTGTCGCGTCACGGTTCGTCGCTAGCAGCTCTCTTTCTTCTTGTGGTTTGTTCTGGGAGCTTGAGAAACTAAACCCCTGAAATGCCCTGAGCTCAGAGTTTTCTTGGGGTGGGCTGCCTGCTAGGCGTACCCACGCAGGATGTCACCACAGAAACACACGCCTTAGCCCGAGACCTGAACTCCCAAACACTTCGTCCGAAGGATATGATCATATGTTATATGGGTAGTTCTCTCTGAATTAGGCTCCCTTTTAGGGTCCTTTCTATAAAGGGTGCCGTACGTTTTTGGGGGCCTTTCAAAAGGGACCCTAGTTTCGAGAATTACCCATATTGCATGGATTTGTCTTAGCTTGCATACCGTTTTTTGTCTATTGTAGTAAGTTGTAGCACATTTCTTGCAGTAGATGATCTTCTCTGATGACATGTCATGTTATCTTATGTTATATGAAGTATCCCATATTTTGCTCGGTTATACTATATATTATATCCTATGTTATATTAGATTATGTTTATATGACATGAGCCGCAGCCGAGCCAGCGAAACACACGGCGGATCTTTCGTAGCAAATTCGCCCGTTGGGGCCCCGAAGCTTGGGCTCGGGTAAATGCGGGGATGCGTGCCGAAGCTTCCCAAAGACTCCAGGCTCCCTTGGCCGAGCTTGGGTTTGGGTTCTCAGGGTTCAGGGTTGAGAGGAATGGAGGGTTGAGGGTTCAGGGTTTAGNNGGTTTAGGGGTTTAGGGTTTAGACAGCACCCCAACATGCAGTTCCAGGAGTAGGTTTCAGAAGAGATCACCGAGGAAGTAGGGGAGAGGGCAGCTTCGCCGAGCATTCCCCATAATGGGGCCCTTTGGCTCTCCTTCTTTGGCCCCACAAGCGGCCTCACAAGGACTCCCAAAAGACTGTCTGGTGCTTAGTA